ACTATATGTTTAACTTTTGTGGCGTTTTCTCTCCAAACGCCGCTAAAAACGCCGCTACATATCAGTTTTGTTGTAGTGAGGGTTATTTTCGATCATTAGGGAGTGGTCGGGGATCAATCGGCCACCGAAATACGGTGGCTGGTGTGTTTTGTTTTAGAGCAAGGAATGATCTCGGTCGTGAGAGAAAAAAGTGGGAGAAAAGACATTTGGAAGAGAAGAGATAAGGGAGAGAGGGTTAGGCTACCGTGTTTAAGATCAGCATTTGGTTCGATATATTGTTGTCCGACTCTTGAAGTAGACAATACGACACATATAAATACGATAGGCAATTTTCTTGGACCTCCTCAAAGGCATTAAAATCCTCACTGAAATACATACAATGTTGGTTGGAGGGACCATATGAATCTTAGCTATGGTTCAAATCCCAAATACAATCAACATTATCAACCGCGACCACCTATGCCTCAGCAATATCAATCGTGAAATTCATCTTTGGAGTCAATAGTGGAAAGACTTGCACTTTCCTAAGAGAAATTCCAACAAAAGACCAAAGCCTATTTTCAAGAAATCGAAAAACAAATGAGTCAACTTACATTAGTTGTGACTTGTCTGTAATCTAAGGGAAAGCTTTCGTCTCAAACAGTACCAAATCTGAGATAAAAGTGCATGCGCTATCACCCTCCATAGTGGAGCTGTCGTTGAATCTGAATCTTAAAAAAATTTTGGAGCAAATCCCAAGAAAGAAAAAGAAAGAACTGAAACCATTGGTGGAACTATCTATTCCATTGTCATATGCTATACGCCCCTCATTCCTAAAAAGACTCATCAAATGTGACAAGTAGGCTGAAGAAAAAGAGATTCTCGACATTTTTCAAAAAGTCAATATCAATATTCCACTCTCAATGTAATGAAAAAAGTTCCAAGGTATGCAAGATTTCTGAAATATCACAGTACTAACAAGAGTAAGCTCATTAGGAAAGAAAAGGTAAATTTATGTGAGAATGTTTTTGCAGTTATTTGACGAAAAATCCCACCTAAATACAAAGACCAAGGTATTTTTGCAATTCCTTGTAAAATTGGTAAGGTTGGTATTAAAAGGGCCATGTGTGATTTAGGCGCTTTGATAAATGTTGTGTGATTTGTGTACTTATAAATTATGCAAAAATATGTGCAAGTATACACAATCAAACAAGTAATATAGAGTGAGTGAGTATCGCCTCCACATGGATTGGAGAAAATTACGAGTTAAGTTAAATCTCTGATCTAAATTATATAAGTATAGTTAGTGTGATGGTATGATCAAATGATAATGTAATGGCAAAGTGAAATGTGTGCATATGAGATTTCAATGGTGGTGTGGAAATTTAGCAGGTGGAAATGCTATGGCGAATCGAGATGTATGAAGTGTAATATATTGAAATTACTAAAACAAAAACAATTGAGAATCCGAGATTAAAAGGGATAACTTGACAATCCTCACACAAATAAGCTGCAATGAGAATGATTGTGGGGTCATTAAGGAATCCTAAGCTTTGTTTTCTAGAATGGTCTAAACTTCTATGACTTACTTGCTCACCAAAATTTACTAACTCCCTATGCTATATCTGGTCAAGGAACCTAGCAGATGAAAATGCCACGATAATACCTCTCGACTTGAACAGTAGCATAAAACTTATCGATTAAGTTCTACTCCTTTTAGTAGTTGAAATTTTATCCTTATCTTTAAGGTGGATTAGGTTTTAATTAGCAGCTAAAACCTATTGCTCATGTTAATCGATACCGTAGCATAGTAGTATCCATACCATGATAGGGGTATCGATACTTGTGAAATGTTAAAAATAGGTTGATATTGTTATAGAAGGTTAATAATATATACTCTTGAATAACCTTTGAGTATAATTGTTAGGAAATATACTAGCAATTGATTGTACGTATCGTTGTTGGATGCTTGAGTAGATCGAAATCAAGCTCCCGAGTCAAGCAAAACTAAAGACAAAGGCAAAGTACTGGAGTGATCAACTTTGTATTTTGGATATAATAGCGAGACAATCTAGGTGTGTGCATTTAATTATGTACATATATGTTATGGTAGTCATAGTTGTATGATTTATTAATGTAAGTATGTTGATTACCAAATGGCACTAAGCGTGCAAAAACTTAAGAGATTCATACTAAGTGTATGAATTTTCGTATGAGCACTATGTGTGCAAAGCTAATAAATTGATACTAAGTGTATGAATTTCCATATGGGAACTATGTGTTCAAAACTAAGATATTCATATTAAGTGTATGAATTTTTGTATGGGCACTATGTGTGCAAACTAAGAAATCGTTACTAAGTGTATTAATTTCCGTATAGGAAATATATGTGAAATTATCAAAAGTTCATAATAAGAAGGTGAATTTTCGTATTGGTAATAGGTGAGTAGTCCACGTAAATTATAGTAAGATTTGGGATTATTACATGGGCACTATAGGTATCAACCATAGAATGTATAATGATTGAAAGAGTTAATTGATATTATGAATAATTATATAGTAGAAAGTGGTCTAAATAAAAGATTACATGGCCTAACTGTGCATTTGACAGAAAGATGTCAATTATGCCAGTTAGATGAAAGGATAAGTGCCTTTGAGGCCTAACTGTGCATTTGACAGAAATGTGCCAATTATGCCAGTTAGATGAAAGACTAAGTGCCTTTGAGGCCTAACTGTGCATTTGATAGAAATGTGTCAATTATTCCAGTTAGATGAAAGGCTAAGTACCTTTGAGGCATAATTGTGCTTTTGACAGAAAGGTGTCAATTATGCCAGTTAGATAAAAGGCTAAGTGCCTTTGAGGCCTAACTGTGCATTTGGCAGAAAGGTGTCAATTATGTCAGTTAGATGAACTGTTAAAGACCGTTGAGTAAGAAATATATGGCCTAGCTGTGTATTTGGCAGAAAGGTGTCAATTATGCCAGTTAGATGAACGATTAAAGACCGTTGAGTAAAAGATACATGGCCTAGTTGTGCATTTGGCAGAAAGGTGTCAATTATGCCAGTTAGATGAACGATTAAAGACCGTTGAGTAAAAGATACATGGCCTAGCTGTGCATTTGGTAGAAAGGTGTCAATTATGACAATTAGATGAACGGTTAAAGACCTTTCAGTAAAAGATACATGACCTAGCTGTGCATTTGAAAGAAGAGTGTCAATCATTTAAGTTAGATGAAAAATTAAATGCCTTTGGGTAAAATATTAAAGGAATTATAATTTATTTGGTTATAAACGGTGTATAAGTGGTATGAAAGGATGTCATATAGATATAAAATGTACAACAATGCATAATTGGTATGAATGGATGTCATAAAAGAAAAACGTAAATAGTACATAAAGGGTATGAAAGGATGCCCAAATGAAGATACAAAATGGTGTGTTAACAGTAGTTAAGATGCTGCCTATAATGATTATAAAAGATACATGATCAATTGGCACTTTGGTGCAATACATGTATAGTACGTTCTAATTTAACGTACACCGTGCAAATAAAGAATAATTGGGGGAAACATATATAGAAGGATAGATAGGTTGGGCCTACTAAGAATAATTTAGATAACTTATTGAAAGAATTATGTTGTAGTTGAGAAGGGCTTATCTGCTCCTTATGGAGTTTGCAATTTAAATCGTCATTCAATATTTTATAAGATATTTATGTATAAAGTTTGATATCTTTGCAGTATTATGTCTCACTAAGTAATTACTTAACATGTGTTGATTTCACGTGTAAGTAAAGGCAAAGGCAAATATTAGTTGCATAAGGAGTGCAGCCGTAGCAGCAACGATCATCAATTAAGGTTGACCCGTGAGTAACGTTAAGAAAATCTTATTCCTTTTGAAAACTTAGTTGGCATGTAATATAACTAAATTAAATATGTTGTAATGTATTTAAATTAATAGTTTTAGTTTTTTTTCTTATATGAATATCATATTTTGAGTTTGTTAAAAATTGAAACAAAATTCTACGATTTTTCAAATGACAAAATATTTTAAAAGTGATGTGACATACGTATCTCGTGTACGAAAATGTATACATGAGATGAGTGTTACATATAGTTACTCAACAACTTGTCGAATTTACCTTTCTTTAACAACAACTAGTTCCTCCCATATTTTCCATAACTTTATCCAATGGCTAATGTCTTCATCTTGCCATAATAGTTTGAACTTTGAATTTACTAAGCTGTCACAGTGTCACTCTCATACGCACACATGAATTCAAAAACTGTTGTTTTTAAACTCTTAAAATAAACTAGTACATCAAATGGAACACAATTTTCGACCAAAAAATATTGAAGTTTACATTTTAAATTGGATTGAAATTGAAAAATGAAATATATATTAATATCATCATAAGTTTAATTTAATATAAATTCCATTTGATTTATGTCTACTTTTAATATCATGTACTCTAATTCAACTTCTAATTATATTAGACATAATTTATAAAAGTATTCGATAAATTAAGTTAAAGTTTAATACATTTTCATTTTTATGATTGCCAACGATGATAACAAAAAGAAAATTGTTTAGAGATGCGTAGGATGTAACATATCCTATTAGACACATTAGTACTAGTTGCATTCTTTTAAATAGAATATTATTTTACATTTTTCTCTCACAAACAGCTTCCTTGACCTAAGACCATTTTGTCTTTTCCAATTTTAAAATTATTTGAATTTTAAAAATGTTTATTATATTTCGCACTGAATTTTAAAAATTCTCTGGCTCCGGCTCCGGCTCTTGCTCTTCTCTGTTGCCTGACATCTTTCTTGTGGTCTATCTGTCTTCGAAACATCAAACGGAAACAACGGCTTTCATGAGAATTTTACGGCTACTTGAAATAATGCCTTAGCCCAATATCATCTCAGAGGAGCTCCGACTTACCCCGAGAAAGAAACCATCGAGTTGTGCATCGAAGCTTTCAGGCATACTACTGTCCCCCGAACTCATATAAGAGGAATTCCTCTTGGAACTCTCACCGTATGACCCAAACGAAGACAAATGAATCAATGTCAGCTTGGAACATTTCTTCAAACAAGTCCTGTAATTCCTCTAAGCTTTCTTCTCCGTTTTCCTACACGTTCACGTTTACATGAGAAGAAAAAAAAACGTCGTATCAAATATATATCTTACTAAAATCGAATCAAAACTGAATCCAGAAAACAGTGAAAGAAGACTTTACATTAGATTTTGTCTGCACCATCATATCAGTTATTTCGTTCAGAAAGTCTCCCATGCCCTAAAATCAAACCATTCCATAAAAACAAATATTTATTCATTTTTGTCTGCTTGCTTTGCATAAACCTAACCTACATAACTTGAATTTAATATATAAAGGCGAGAGGGTGTGGAGAACAGCAAAGCAAAGATACATTTTCGTCATCATCAGTGTCATAGAATCCTACGTCGTACTGGAATCTCTTGTTTGCGTCAGACAACTGTAGAAAAAGTCAAGTGAACAACGTCATCTCGTGAAGCTGAATCCAATAATTTATTAATTAAACAAAAGTGAGGAAGAAAGGCAAAAAAATATCATCGCAGCCAGATGATATTCAAAGAAAAGTTCCTCGATAGTTAACAACATCTAGATTTATTGCCTTCTTACAGAAAACCCAATAAAAAGACCCATAATTTTTACAGCATCAGTTTATCAACTTTGGATTCATAGAAAGCAAGAGTTTTAACTGAATTCAGAGCGCGTTCAGAGTATAAATTATTAACACCACAAAATAAACAAATTCAAATCAAATGCTAAAAATCTAACCAGGGCAAGTTTCTTATAAGCAGCCCTGCCTGAGCTCTGTTTGAGTGCATTCCTTATTCACACCCAAAACAGCATAGAAATCATTGTTCTTCTCTTCTCCATTTGCCATTCTTCAACTAAAAAAACCCAAAAACACAATCCCGGCACCAAAACCCAAAACAAAAGTCTTTGTCTCGTCGACAAATTATATAATAACCGACAACAAACCTTACAAGCGGAAACCAAGCCAAACCTATATATAAACGTCAAAACAAGACTTTAAAAACGTAGCTTAGGAGTATGTCTTTGTGAGAACTGCAACACAAATCCTTAGAATATATTTCCATGAAGGGAAAGGCTGAAGAGAAAAAGAAAATAAAACAGAGAGAAAAGAAATGAAAGGAAGGCGAGAAGATCTCTGCGAACAAGACTAAGGCCCAACAGCTTTCTAGAAACCTGTTATTTATACAAGTTTCTACTGTTTAATGCTTTTGCTAGTCGTGTTATTTGTGTATCATGTACATGTACCTGTTTATTCATATATATTTTTATTTTGCGTAAGAATAAATAAATGAATAAAAGACTGATAGAAGGAATAAAAATAGATTTTGACTAAAAAAATAGATGTGTTTTATAATCAAAGTGTGGGGTAACAATAGATAAGGTGAGGTCCATGGACGGTGGGGATTGATTAAAGGGCAGGATATTTTACCTATTTGATATCGTACTTTGTTAACCGTGACAACCTTTTTCATGACAGCTTTGTTTCTTTTTCCCCTTCTCCTTAATTTTCATTAATAAAATGAACTAAATTTACTTTGTACCCAAAAGAAGAAACTTTAGTTCCCAAACGCATGAAAATTTATTGCTATCTTGTAGATTGACGTTCAACATATTTATAGGGATAGCAACGGGTCGGGTTCGGGCGGAGTATTGGTTTCCGTCATTGTCTCCATTTAAAAAATTCATACCCGTCCCCATTTAAAAAATCACGGGAATTTAAACAGAGTATCGGGGAAAATCGCAGAGAAACGTGTATCCCCTTTTAGCATAAACGGTTATTTAAACGGGTATCGGGTCAGGTATCGGGCCGGGTATATATATATATTTAAATTAAATATATAAATATTATATATATTTTTAATTTAAATTAAATTTATTAATATTATATATATATATAATAATTATTTTTAATATTTATCGGGTCGGCTATCTGGCCGGGTAATCGGGGCGGGATTACCAAACCCGTCCCCGTCCCCGTTTAGCATAAACGATTTTTCCCGTCCCCGTTTAGCATAAACGATTTTTTCCCGCCCCCATTTAATTCGATTTTCGATTTTCCCCGTCGGGTTCTAATTTTTTTATCATCCCTACATATTTATATTTTTCTTTTAATTTATAATGTAACAAAATATATATTGTTTTAAAAGTTGATAAATAAAGTAATTTTCTTAATCTTGATCTCGACTTTCATTTAACAAATTTGAAAGTTGGTCCAACTCCATCCTAGTTGGAGGGGCCCACCCATTGCCTATCAAATTTTGTCAAAAACCCAATGGCAAGTGGTTTTTCATTATTCTCTCACAACTTGATTGAATTGGGGTTTCCCCTTTTAATATTATTTATATGTACTAAAACAGGTTTAAAATTAATTTGTACCTGCATGCATTTGATTACTATTCAGAAAGATGATCGAAGAAAAATCAAACTAAAAATAAATTAACTTCTATTCCTTTGTTAATTAAAACTAACAATAAATTAACTTCTATTATTTTCCAAGTACTCGTATACTAGCAACAGCTTGGAAATAGGTTGATGACTTGGTCGGGAAAGACGAAATGTATATTAAAAAATTATAAATTTATCCTTAAATAACTTTGAATTTAAATTCTAATAACCTTTTAGATAAAATACTAATGAGCGACCAAGCCATCAAAGTAACGAAAGTTAACGTCTCAGTGACCGTATCTTAATTAAATATAATATATTATTGGAACTTTTGTCTAAAATTCATGGATTAAAATAAAAATTAAACCCTTTTACTAACGACCACATCATCAAACTAACAAAAGTTAACGTCACAATGACCACATCTTAATTAAAACGAAACGAAAGTGATCATATATTATGTTTTTTCTTAATCCAGTGACATAAGTTTATAAAACTTAAATGAAAAAGTGACTATTTGTGTAGTTTTGTAACACCTTCAAACTGATACGAGAGACTCGATCCGATTCGATATGTCACATTAAGGCCACCGGAGCGGCCCACAGTAAAAATCCAATAAAAAATAAAAATTTTGTTAATCCATTTAAAAAATGTGAAACAATTTATAAATAAAAACATAAGTCTAGAAAATCATACATATATTAAAAATAGAATCCATTAATATTTAGTATCAGAACCAATTTTTAACTCTAATATATATATATAAATGACCTACATGCCCCTAATTAAATATGTATTGTACCCTGCAAGTGACGCCAAAAGAGATCCCATTACTGATGTCCATGATTACACATGATTGATTCTTTAACATGAAATGGTAAGTAATAGAGTGAGCTTTTTGGGAAGCTTAATAATATAGAACTACCATATGATGCTAAAGGTAAAATAGATGTATGGTAAATCATGAAATTTCCTTAGTAAACCAGACATTTACAGGTCCTTTTAATGAGTTGGAAAATCTAGTAAGTGGTTTCCAGGTAAGATTCAGAATGTTTACAATCCAAAGGAAACATTCAGAGAGAAAGATTCAGGAGAAAATGTTGGGAATCTAGTATGTTCCAACAGTATCAAATAATAGTGTAAAAATAATTTTAAAATAGTAATAGGTCATTTTAGTAAAATAAATTTTTAAAATCACAATAATGCCCTCTAAATGAACACTGATATGTAGTCCTCCATAACTACATTCATAAGGACTTACCCTAAGCCCATTGAGCATAAGAGACAACTTAAGGGAGCACATTGGGTCCATTAGGACTTACTGTTGAGTTAATCGATCGACGGAATCGGCCAAGAGGGGGGTGAATTGGCAATTAAAAATTTCGTGGAAGCTTTTGCAGAAAAATTGAAAGTAATTGCACAACGATTTATAGTGGTTCGACTTTCTCAAACAAAGTCTACGTCCACTACCTTAGCTATACACACTAAGGATTTTCCAACAAATTCACTAATTTGTTCTTTCTTTTGAGGCCAAAGAGATAACCTTACAAAATCCCTCAAGAGTATACCCCAACTCTTGAGAACAATCTTTTTCCCAAAGAGAAGATTACAAATTTGCAAACTTACAAGAAAACCTCACAAGGTAAGATGTTTGTACAATTCTAGAACAAGAAAAGAACACTCAAAGATAATTACAAATGAGCACAAATGGTGTTCTTGAAAGCAAAATGAATATTGAAAGGAAAATTGGCTTGATTTGCACAAACTTGGTGTTTGATGCTTTCTCTCTTGTTTCTCTATGATTTCTTGTTGATCAATGGCTTCAGAACTTGTTTAAATACACCTTGAATCTCTTTTGAACGTTGGGGATGATTAGTGAAGATCATATAGCCGTTTTAGTGTGAAAACAATTAATAAAACAGTTTGGAGCGTGGGGGGAATCGGTACCCCTATGGGGAATCGGTTCCCTAAGTTTAAAATTCAAATATTTCGACCGTTGAACAGGGGGGAATCGGTACCCCCTATGGGGGAATCGGTTCCCTCCGAGTATTCTGGAAATCTCGGAGCCAAACCATTCAGGGGGGAATCGGTTCCCTCTGAGCAATATGGAATTTTTGGCTTTGAAATGGTTCGAAATACTTTGAAAGATTATTTTGAAATTGTTTTAAGATTAAAACTTAATTTTACACTTAAGTAAGAATTAAAAATGATTTTTGAAATATTTTGAGTAATGTTTTGATATTCGAATAATTATATCGAATATACGTAGAAAATCATTTTGGAAAATCTTAAAATTCATTTAACTTAATTTGTTATATCGAAATATCAAAATGTTTTCAACAATCTCCCCCTTTTTGATATAACAAAACATTTTAGTAATTTTAAGATTTTGAAATCAAGTTTTGAAATTACTCCCCCTTACTTTAACACTTCTCCCATTTATCATTTTAAAAACACACTTAAAACACACTTCTCCCCCTTTTTGTTAAATCAAAAAGATTTAAATAAACGTGAAAAATATTAAGCCAATTGATTAGGTATATGTATGCATAAGCTGCTAAGATCACAATTAAGAGAAACGTTAGCCATTAGTTCCGTAATCAATATTCATAAATAATGTGACATGACAAAATTGGTCATATTGCTAATAATGATGTAAATGATGCAATAATAAATAAATCACACCAAACATATAAGTTCAAACCATCCATAAATCCAAACAAATTCACAATCCTCAAATTCAAACATCCCAAAATATTCAAAATGTTAAAACAATAAGTTTAGAAAACAAAGTAAAACATTTAATCATATATCCGGATCAGGAGGAGGAAAACGAGCTCACATAGCGGCCATTTCGTTAGTGAGGTCATTAATACGTGCGTTGGTTGCTTCATTATTTGCACGCATTTCCTGAAGAATTTCTAATTGTTGAGCTCCCATTGTGGATAAATGGGACTCTATAGAAATAAAGCGTGAATCCATGGTCGCATATCGGTAATCAAATAT